TGTTGGGTTATTCGGTGAAGGCTTTAGAGCTGTGGGCTTTAAGCCTGGTCGGCTAAAGGGAAGAAACATGGGGGGCCGGTTTTAGTTATTAATTAAAGGGCCCATTAGTTGTTTCTTGTTTAGCAAGTTGTTAACCCTAGTTTATATCTTATAAATACCCAATCATGTAACTATAATCTGTGAGCACCTAATAAAAGATAAACCCTAGCTGCAACCCGTGGAGGTTACTGACCGAACCACGTTAAATCTCGTGTTCTTATTTTCTGCTATTTGTGTGTGTGTGTTTGTTCGCTTCCGCTTGACCGCCTCTGATCTCTGATTCCTAACACATAACCCTTTATATTTACATATCATATATTGTCCTATTTACTAATGCTTCTTTTTATTGTGGAAGGTTAAGCTTGTGAAATGTATCATACAAAATATTGTTGTTGACATTTCCTTCAATCAAATAGGTGGTCTTTGTACATTGTGCTTTCTGGAACAGGTAAATTTCTTATTGTTGGAACTGCTGACAAGTTAATATGTTTTTCTTTCAAGCATGTAAATTTGGAAGTTTGAGTTGCATTTCATGTTCACAGTTTTATTATACAGGTTGATCATCTCATTGGAAAGGATCATCTTTTTAAGCGCAGTATTATATTAATCAAGGCATGGTGCTATTATGAAAGTCGTATACTTGGTGCTTTCCATGGCTTGATATCTACGTATGCTCTAGAGACTCTGGTTTTGTACATCTTTCATCTTTTCCACTCCAGATTAGATGGACCTTTAGCAGTAAGTCTCAACAGACAGATATATCACTGTTATAGCTTTCCTTGACTCAAATGGCTGAAAATACTATAAATTTAAGGTTCTATACAGATTTCTGGACTACTTTAGCAAGTTTGATTGGGAAAAGTGTTGTATTAGCTTGAATGGTCCAATCCGCATATCATCTTTGCCGGAAATTGTTGGTAAGAGACATTCTTACAGTGTTTATTCATTTATGCTTCTATTTATCTCATCAAGATGATATTCTTGCACCTTTTGCAGCTGAGGCACTTGAAAATGGTGGCAGTGATTTACTTCTCAGCAATGATTTTCTTATACATTGTGCTGTCACGTTTTCAGTTCCCTCAAGAGAGGTTGGCACGAACTCTCAGACATTTGTACTAAAGCATCTTAACATAGTTGATCCTCTAAAAGAAACTAATAATCTTGGGCGCAGTGTCAGCAAAGGTAAGATTAAGTTCAATTCTTTGTTTGGGCAGAATAAATTTAAGTGTTTGTCACTTGGCATTCTATTTTCCGAGAAGCTCGTTTAAAAAAATACTAATTATGTTTTGGTTTGCAGACCCTAAACAGGGAAAATAGGAATATAAGTTTAAAAAGAATGTAGTAGAGGAAAGAATGAAATAATATTATTACTTAAATCAATTGTATCTATTCAGTTTTGTTGGGTTCTGGAATAATAGAATGAATGTAAACACTAATAACAAAAATAGTGGAATACCCACACCCATAAGAGTATACAAATTGTCTACAGACAGTTTATGGAGTATTAAAATAAAATTTGTATATAAAATCTATGAATTGTTAATCACATGGTACCATTGGGTTGACTATACCTATTGGAAAAGGGAATAATTTATTCTGTTGAGATATGAATTTAGGTTGAGATTAGCTTCAGAAAGGAAGTGAACATTTACGAGAATCAATTGATTTCATGCCTGGCCGTCAACCAGTGAGGCCATCCACCTCTTGAGGGGACTGATGGATCAGTTTAGGGGCAAGAAGAGAGACATATGCACATGATGTTTATTGACTTGGAGAAGATGTTCTACAAGGTTCCTAGGAAGATCTTATAGAGGTGCCTAGAGTATAGAGAGTTACAGGTCGCCTACATTCATGTTGTCAAGTACATGTGTGACAGCGCGAGTATGATAGTGAGGTCATTGTGAGAAGATTCTGACCACTTTGCAGCGGAGATGGGGTTACATTAGGGTCTGTCCTTTGTCCTTTCCTGTTGATGGATGTTTTCTCTCAATCTATTCAGGGGGAGGTGAGGTACTTTGGTGCATGTCATTTTCATATGACATTGTTCTAATTGAGGAGATATAAGAGGGACTCAATGATAGGTTGATGTGGAGACAAAGCTTGGAATCCAAACTCCAAAGGTTTTTGATTTAGCAGGACGCGAGTGCGTGAAATGTTGCTTTAGTGCTAAGATGAGTGAGTTGAAAGTTGAAGCGAGTACTGATTGCCTCAAAGGGACAAGTTTTGGTACTTTGTATTCATCATTTAGGCCGGTGGGTAGATAGATAGAGATGTTTATCTTTTTGGATCCATTTGGGCAAAGCGGTAGCTAACTTCAGGGGTTCTTTGCCACAATAAGATCTCGACAAACCTAAAAGGGAAGTTTAATCAAACAGTGGTCATAGTGGCTAGGTTGTATGGAGCAGAATGCAAGGGGGTGAAGAACACACGTTCGGAAGCTACGAGAGGCAGAGATGAAGATGCTGGGCTGAATGTATGGTCAAAGGAGTATGAATAAGATATGAATATACGATACACGGTAATTTTGGGGGGGGGGGATGAGGGTGGTCTCTGAGGAGGATAAACTGAAGGAAGTTAGACGGAGATGGTTTGGGCACATAGCCTTGTAATGAGGAGAATTACGGATGTCCCTATGAGGAGGTGTAAGAGGCTTGAGGTAGGGGGCATGCAGAAGGGCAGAGGTAGGCTAGAGGAGTGTTGGAAAGAGTGTTTAGCCATGACTTGCGAGTTGCGACTTTAGGGTCTTATCAAGGATATAACCTTAGATAGTAGCGTGTGGCGGCATAGGATTAGGGTGGTTGGGCAGACTTTTGGGCCCTACTTTGTAGTTTTTTCATGTGTGCTTTTGTGCATAAGGGTGGAGGGGGCGTCTCCACCAAGTACTCAAAATACTCAAACTTATCATCCAATAAAATTTGGCCACCTGAAAAGTACTCAAACTACCCAAAGTACTCAATTTTGGAGCGGGTGCCTACTCAAACTAGTCAAGGACTCACTACCTTTTAAGTTAATTAAAAAACCAAAATTCTTTCATTAATTAAAAAACAAAAATACATTTTAGTAATTTAAAAAGCAAAACACATTTCATTAATTTAAAAATATACATTTTTTGTACAAAAAAATATAATTTTTAAATTAAAAAAAATATAATAACTAATAAAACCCAGAAATTAAGATTAAAAATCTAGAAATTAGGATTAAACAAGCCCTCAAATTTTTTTAAGCCTCTGAGAAAAAATTTACCCTTCCATTTAATTTTTTTAACCGTCCATTTAGTTCTTTTATTCTAAATATATAGTATAAACCAATCCAACTTAAAAAAAATTTTAAATTTATAGCACTTGAACAACATCACCCAACAATAGTATATAATTGTTTTTTTAATATTCTTAACACCAAACCCAACAAGCATTTTTATACCAAAAAGGAAAAAAGAAAAAAACAACAGCAAGCAACCCAATAAAAGCACTCCGGTCGAATATAGGAACTCGGAAAAGGTACTCACCCACCCTACTCAAGCTGCTTGCGGCAATGTGCTCCTTTTAACTGGCTATACTCGAAAAACTAGCGCCTGTCGGAGTTAGACGCCCCTTTCTCCCTAAGTTTGTACTTTTTGCGTGTGTGCTTGTTTTTATTTGTGCTCTTACTTTGTTTGTGCTACTTTACTGTATCATTGTGCTCTTGTGTTTTGAGTTGGGGGCCTCTTGGAAATAGTCTCTTACTGGCCAAGCAAAGGTAAGGTCTGTGTACACACTACACACCCCCAAACCCCACAATGTGGGATTTTGTTGAGCCTATTGTTGAAATATGAAATGAATCAAATGACAGAGTGTCTATTTTGGTGAAGACATATATGTTCCTGGCCTATTATGCTAACGGTTCAGGACTCAGGAGATGCAAGGAAAGTTCAGTAGAAACATGTATTGTTACTAGTATCACTATACTCACAAACCAAAATAGCTTAGTTGTGTAAACTAGCCCAATATTGTATTCTGGTTGAGTGTTTCATGCTTGAGTTTGTGAAGTTGGGTTTATCATTATCATATATTGGCTTCCATCTTTATTGTCTTCACAGGGAATTTCTATCGAATACGAAGTGCTTTTGCATATGGTTTTAGGAAACTTGGGAGAATACTTGTGCAGTCAGATTGTAAAAATATTGCTGATGAGCTTTGTAAGTTTTTTTCGAACACATTGGATCGGCATGGGAAGGGTCAGAGGTCTGATGTTCGAGATCTTAATCCACTAGCTGGCCACACTGGTTTCTGCTCTGCATTTGCTCCTTCGGATATAAATTCATCACACCTTGAGAATCTAAATTATAGACTCAAATTCTGCGACCTCACAAGCACAAGTGGAGATTGCCAAGTCTGCCCATGCAACGTTGGGGATAGGAACCAAGAGTGTACCACAGATGCATACCAATCCAAGTTGGCTTCAGGCACTGATTGGTGTGTAGAAGGAAATGCAGTGGATAATCAACTTCTTGTAGATGCGATTGAACTTGCTAGCTCAATACATGAAGACCTAAAGTTTCCTAACCATTTTCACAGTTTTTCTCATTTGGGTACAGATAGATCTGTAGCTGATATGCCATTTTACACACCTCATGTCCACTTTACTGGCTCCATGTGCAACGGGGAGGTGAGAAGGGGGAACCCAGAAGGAAAGCAGGATGGCATTGACAGCAAATATTTCTTTGGGTTAAAACAAAAAAGCTCCAAAGAAAGAAAGTGCCTGGAGAAGAATCATCCAATTTATAAGCATGATGTTTTGATTCCCTCTGCATCAGGGGATGTTTCTATGGCCTCCCAAATACTTGCTTCCTCCAACTGCTCACACCACATAAAACACGACTGGCCTTCAGCTATTTGTGCTAGAAGTATGCAATATTTTCATTCTTTGTTGGATCTTGGTGGTGACTTCAACTATTACTTCAGTTGTCTGCAATATGGCAGATGGTGTTGTGAATACTCTTCCAACATGTTGACTTTCACTGCACCTAATTCACCACCATCTTCACTGTATGTTACATACTCATTGGATGCAGTTCAGCAGCCAATACAGGTCAAAGCGAATGATTTTCTCTATGGGAGTGCTAATGGTATTTTTCCTAGTCAAGCATTCTATCCAGCAAAACCTCTGTCAGTACCCAGTCTTTCATTTGGCTTAGAAGAGATTCTGAAACCACGGGGAACTGGAACATACTTTCCAAACATGGTATATAACTTTTCTATCCTGTTAGAGTACATGGACACACAAAATTTGTAGCAATTAGCAGTGTAGTTTTGTATTATTTGGGCCTCCAACTCTATGCAGGCAGGCATATGATAAACATGTTTTGCCTTTACTCTTGTAGTCTTGTGCCAGGCAGTGACAATAATTGTTCAATAAGAGCCTTCTGCAATCTATTTTGCAGAATCAATCCGCAAAAAGTTATAGGTCTTCCTCAACTTGGAAGGGAAGGAGTCAAGCTCTGACGAGGTCTCCTCGAACGACAAATGGAAAGAATGCACCGCCATTTACCGAGTCATATGCACATCACAGAAACAGCCATGAACTGCTACAAGAATCACTAGATGCGGTTGATTCAACTGTTATCAACCTATCGTCTTCATCTCATGGAAGGGGGGAGCATCCCAGTGCTGGTAAGAATTACCTAGTATCTCACTCTGAGGACTGAGGGTGCTGCTCCTACTGGTATTGGGTCAGTTGAAGATGTTCCTCCACCAAGGGCTTCCATGTCAGACCAAAGCCGACAAAGGAGGCATTCCCATACATCATCACCTGTACCACATTCTGCTCTAGCTTCCCCTACTTTAAGGTCACACCAATCCATACCCCTTTTTAGTCGGGATCATGATGATAATGTATGACATACTAATATCTTCAATATTTATCATTTTTTGTTGTTGTTGTTGTTGTCAGAGCCTAGCTCACCACTTCAAGAAGCTCCCAGGGCTTTACTTGGCACTAGGAGCTGAATGGGATGGTGGTTTGGTTTAGATTGAAGGGCTCCTGTTGGGTGGGCCTACCGGGAACACTTCAATCTTGGACCTTGTTACTAGGGTCGATAGGTCTTTAGTGGCTAAGTAAGAAACATGAGCCCGTGCATTGCTCAGTGGCTCCTACATTGTTTTTATTTTGTAGTCAGAGGTTCGTGTCTGTAACATTTAGTGACTACCTTTCTTTACCAGCTTCAATGCAATTGGTTTTATGCAAGACTTGGCCAATGATGTTAAAAGAGTCTTTCCTGCAAAGGCATTTGTTCGTTGTCAATTGCAGAGAAACAAAAGTATTTGGTTTCGAGGTGTCTACTGCAGTGTAGCAAACAAATGGTATTGTTAATTGAGTATACTTGTTAATAAAATGTATATGTATTATGAAATGTTTATAGTTGGTTCCCTATATATATACTAGTGAAAAACCTTTATGTGTCGAGTTTGAACCTGTATTTCTGATGTCCACACAAAACTTGTTTGATCAATTCTGAAAAATGATGTGACGAATTCTGAAAAAGTTTGAGAATTGAGATAAATTTCTTGAAAAATCTGATGAAGAATCGTAAATATTCCCCTTGTTTTATAAAATGGTTTCTATTTCGACTTTTCAGAGTGTATTTTTGTGATTAAATTTCCAATTTTGCCCATGATGTTATGAATAAAAGTAAGATGTGATAGATAAATTATTAGTGAAAAAGTATGATGTGATAGGTAAGGTAAAAAAAATAGAGGTAAAAGTGATTTTAATAGAAAATGGAAATATTTTAGAAAAAATAAAAAAAATGAAACTGTTTTAAGAATTGAAGAAAGTACTAAAATGTTGAGGTGAAAAAATTTGAAAGAGTGAAGACCATTTGCATTGGGGATGTCCTTAGACCTGACAAAACAGAACCGGAATCGATTACTCGAACCGAAATATCCGAAACCGAAACCGGAATGATCCGAAAAATGAAGATCCGATCTATAACGGAAAACCCGAAATAATCCGAATCGAACCGAAACCAAACTAAATAATTCATATCCGATTTTAAATCCAAAACCGATTAGATCCGAAACCGATAATATCCAAACTGATTAAACCCGAAACCGATTAGATCCGAACCCGATAATACCCGAAACCGATAAAATCTGAAACCCAATAAATCTGAAACCGATAATATCCGAACCCGATTAGAACTAAAATCGATAAATTCAGAACTATGTTAGCCTTTCAATAAGCATATTATATTTTTAAATTTTTACTTTTATTTTACCATTTGAACTAGTTACATTACTTGCTCATTCCCTCATAAAATGGATTATCTTCTTGAAAAAAGTACAAAATTTTATGACTTAAATTATACATATAAATGATAACGCACAAACAAATAAAATTTCCGTAATTTTTAAATAGTGAAGTGTGAAATTCTTTTTGGGACGAAAGAAATATATGATGAATTGTATGGAATAATTAGATTTTATCCTAATTTCATCTCATTACAATAAATTTTATTGATTTGAGAGTTAATTTGATTAGTTTCAAACTAATTCACTCAATATTAGTCAATAAAATTAAATGCTAGTGTTAGCATTTTGAAAAGACTCTCTAACGGCAACCTTTAATGTTATCATTTTCAAATTTGATCTACATCATTACATTTAGGTGTAAAATTAATTATATTTGACTCTATTAAATTTAATTTTCTCTATTTTCAACCAAATATACTCAATAATTTACAAATTTTGCACTCAATTGAATAAAATTCACTTAATTTCACCCAATTTTACTCAATTTTTACCAAATTGTATTCAAATAGAAGATAAGACTATTTGAATTTATCTTTTATCCTTTCATTTATATACATAAGTATATTAGTAGATGTGAGAAAAATTTTATATTTCAAAACTAAATTTTAAAATCAATTTAATTATATTAAATTTATATCATAATTAAATATATATGTTTTCATAATTTGTAGTCCAAATTTGTAAAATATGACTAAAAAGTCAAAAAGGAAAGATTATTTAGGGTAGAGATAATATAACTAGAAAAAAATATAAAATAATTTGAGGTATTGAATTGATGATAGATTGATAAATGTGATAAAACATAAAAAGAAACACAGATAGTTAAATTTTAATTAGAAAATAATATATATCCAAAATATATTTGATCCGAAACCAAAATATATCCAAACTGAAGTAGACCCGAAACCGAAATATATCCAAACTGAACTAGACCCGAAACCGAAATATATCCGACTCAAATTGTATCCGAACCGAAATCTATCCGAACTGATTTATAACCGAACCGTATCTGAACTGACTCGAAACCGAACCGAACCGAAAAAAGTATAGAACCGAAATCAAATCCGAACCGAAATTTAACCGATCCGAACCAAACCGAACCGATTATAATATATAACCGAAAGATATCCGAACCGAAAAAATCCAACCCGAAACTTATTCGGTTGATCCGATTGCCACCTCTAGATGTCCTAAGTGAGTCCGCCACGTACAAGAGCTTTTTGGGCCGGCCACACAAGGCGTTCTAGGACTTACCCCGAGAAAGGGAGCAGTACATGTCCAATCCGTTTGCCTAATTTTCTGACCCAGGAACCCGCTTCTCATTCCCCACCAGAACTGTAACGGCTAGTCTATGAACCAATCCGCTCATGGCCATCGACTTGTGCAGTATTACTGGCCGCTCGTCATATTCCAGTCTGTAGAGGATGACGATGGTGAGTTCTGCCCAGCATCGCCGTTCATGGCGGGTCAACATTCAGGCAAAGGGCAAAGGCTTTGATTTCAAGCTGTGCGCAACTAGCCTCTTCCTCCATTGCCACAATTGCAGCAGCTTCTTCCAATTCTCCGCCAAACTGAAGCGCTTCAGCTTTCTCATCAGGCTTAGATCTGAACCCGAGGCGTCCAGTCCCAGAAGAATTGCAGGATCTTCTAAGTCGAAACTTGTGAGATTTATTAAAAGGCTCTGGGCAAGGGGGCGGACAAAAAGTGTTCCTATTCCTAACTCTTGCAATCAAAGGGTATGTAGAGTTTCAAATCGTTTTTTTAAAATAAATTTTTGAAAACACGATCTGATCGTTATCGAGGTGCAGGAATTCTTTTCTCCGAGTTCGGTGCCAGGGCCAGGAGGCATTGTTGGTCTTTTAGGCAGGGCAATTTCTAAGGGAGATAGAGATGAGGTTTTTATGGCCACATTGTTCTGTGTGACCCGGCTCTTCAGGAATTTCAGCACAAGAGATGTGTGGGTTTTCATGGTCCTTTTGATTGCTGGAGTGGTGGGGTTTTCAGGCATCATAAATTTCAGGAACCACTTCACTGATGTTTGTTTGCTAAACCTTTTGGGAAGATGAACAAAGTGTTTTTAACAAATTCACAACTGTAATAATGAACATGGTTTTGTTCTTGTTTTGGCAAATTCTTGATGGTAGGAATCATGTACAAGTATATTGCAATTTAGAATTGGGTAACCTATCCCCTTACCAATTTAGGTTCACTTGGTCGGCTTAAAGAATTCATTGCAGCGTTCCTAAATTGCAGTGAAGTTTCTGTAAAATCCATTCCTTTCATGTGTGTGAAACTAATCATTACAGCAAAGTTTTTGATATCAGCTTAGACATAGCTCAAGGTGCAAACTGTGACAATCCAAATACATGGTGAAATCAAGCTTATCAAGCCTACGAATGGAATCAAACAATTATGCAACGGACCAAGTTGCTAGTCAGGTAAAAGGGAAAAAACCCATTCTCATTTCTCATTGTTGTGGCGCAAGCAAAATTAAAAGCACAGTGGCATTTCTTGATCAAGGGTCATTGGGCTGCAGTGGAACATATTCTGTGTTACTTGAAAGGAACTCCCGGTCGTGGTATTGTCTATTCAAATCACGGTCACATGAACATTGAAAGTTATGCAGATGCAGATTATGCAGGGTCGAAGGATGATCGTAGGTCCACCTCCGGTTATTGTGTCTTTGTGGGTGGGAATCTGATTTCGTGGAAGAGCAAGAAGCAGAACGTTGTCTCTCGTTCTAGTGCTGAGTCTGAATATAGAGCCACGGCACAAGCTGCGTGTGAAATAATATGGATATATCACCTCCTNAAATGGCACCAGGCTTATGTATTTATGTAACAAGTTGGGCATGATAAATATATATGCTCCAACTTGAGGGGGAGTGTTATTAGTAATAATATTAGTATTTTAGTTAAGTCCTGAGAATATGGCAGGATCTGATCTGGCCATTAATATGGGTGATTTAGGCATTAATATGGGAGATTTAGTTTCCTTATATTAGCACCCTTCTTATGTATATATAGTCATGTTGTATTATGTAATAATGTATAATGAGGAACACCTCTGATTATCAATCACATGGTATCAGAGCCAGTTTTAGCCCACCTCGTTTGTCAAGGTGTCCGTCTAGCTAGACGTTCATTCCTAGCGGCCCGTTAGTCTTTAGTCCAGTTGTCCGTATGGAGGTTGTACCCAACGGCATGTGGCCTGTTTAACACGATTGCTCGTCTGGAAGTCCATACCCAGCGGCTCGTGGTTCTTTAGGTGTTGGCGCTAAAAAAAAGAAAGTCAAGGGAATGGGAGTTCATTTGCAAGTGGTCAACCGGTTAGATTCAAAATGGCCCGGTTGTCCACTTGAGGGGGAGTGTTAAGAGTATCCCACATCGGAACTTGAAGAGAAAATAACCCGTTATATAAGTCCTTGAGTTGAACTAACTAATCGATTGGATTCAATCTTTTAATGTTGTTCAACTCAAGTGTCTTATAGCCCAATCCAGTTATCCCTACCCCATCCTAAATTCTATCACATATTAACCCTGTCCAAAAAGTTTGTCACTCTCTTGTTCTTGAGCTGCTAGTAGGAATACACCGATCCTCGTGAACTTGTACCTCAATCTCTCCATGGTTTTGGGGAACCGCCTGTAATCTAATAGAGCTTCCTTGTTCGGAGGCAAGGCTTGTTAGACCACTTTGCTTCAGATAATTTTGTAAAGACAGGCTAGCTTGTTGAAGAAGGCACAACATGCTAACATGTGGTGATGCATCTGCCACAGCTTCTTCACTTGGGTGACAGTTCAAATCTAGCAAAGCTTTCCCTGTTTCAGAAGTCCTACAAAGCTGGTGGCTGCTTGGTTGCAATCTCACTTGTCCGGGAATTATACTATCCTTCACATCTGCTTTGTCCTCCTTTGCAGCACCCCACATATACTGATCCCTCTGAGCAAGTTCGGCTTCCCGCTCCAACTGTCGTTTCTTTTTGCGCATCATTAGAGTCTTGAAACGACGTTTGACAGTCATGCAAACGTTGCACAAACATGATGGCTTGTGCTTGCCCTTTCCACTTGGAGGCTGGATACATACAATGCAAGAACAACCAGGGCGATGCCTGGGGTGTTTCGTAGTTTTTGCTATTGAGGACCCACCCTCCTGCTCATCATCTTTAGAACCTGACACATTTACCTGTGCATCTGCCATATCAGAATCAACCTCCTCTGTGTTTACTGATTTGCAATTCATCTCATTACTTTGTTTCTTCCTCTCTGCAAGAAACGAAATGAAATACTCCATATTTGATAAAGAAATCAACTAACTCATTTGCATCAGCATATATAGCAATAACAGTAGTAGTCATGTCCGTTGGTGAGGCATGCAAATTATTATTAAGTCACATCAAGATCTCTTTAATCACATCTACATCATAGTTTTGAATGTTATCATAGGAAGCTTGAAAAAAACATTCATGCTTATCGAGTTATCCTCGTAGCTTTATCATTAAAACCAACATGGAAGGACTATGGAGTGGCTTTACCCAATGCGCAATGCAGCTTTAGGTATCGATTATAATGGGTTCACACGATATAAAAAAGAATTTATAAAAAGAAACTAGAAGCTAAGTCCAAATCTACAATGAGTGAAAATGGTTACACATGTCAATCAACTAGCACACACTTGATAAAAATCGAGTAAATTCCACAAATAGTCCTCTATAGTTAAGAATATTCCAAATTTAGTCCATTACTATATTAAGTTCTATCAGAGGTCCATCATAATTGTGAACATTATAGTTTAGTCCTCTATGTCATCAAATACCAACTTAAGTCCTTAATGATTTAGAATATTGCTAGGTTTAGTCCTTTGTTGGTACATTATTTTGAAGACCTTTGATTCAAAGAGGACTAAAATTGGCAATGCTCACAGTTAAAGTGGGCCTCCAATGGAATTTCATAATATAGTGGACTAAACGTGGAATATCTCCAAATATAGAGGACCATTTTGCAGAATCTAGTCATACAAATTTAGGTGCATATATGCATCATAAATATACCTTTATCCATTTTGAGGAGGAATTCGAGCTCCTGTGGTGCTAACTCATCTGGTGCAGAACATGAGCACCTGGGGACATAAACACATGAAATTTAGATGACACTTTCTTGTTTAACACAAGGGACTTCATATTCAAGCGCTCTGACCTGCAAAGATCCCAAACATTTTCCTGACATCTCCACTGAGGTGGTAGAAGATAATCAGCAGGCAGCCTTCTCCATTTGAAGCAAATATCACATTGAGCCCATTGTTCCAGCTCCCTGTATATTCAATGCCACCAAGAGGAGTAAAGTAGAACAAGTAGCCTTAAAACCGTCTCTCTCTCTCTCTCTCTCTCTCTCTCTCTCTCTCTATGGTTGTTTTCAAAATGTTAGAACAACATTTAACATTTAAAGGTCTCAACTCTTATTGCTAATGGTCCTTGGACGATTCTAGAAAATAATTGTCATTAGATGTACTATATATCCTACTAAAATTATCTTACCCAGACAAGCGAACTGTAAAAATGCTTCTCTTTGCAAAGGCAGGGGGTTCCTACAAAACCAGAAGCTTGGGTATAAGAAGTGTAGCAAGAACTTTTCATAGTTAAGTGCAGGGTATTACAAACCTGAGCTTTGAACTACCCAACAGTTAAAACAATAAAGCCACAGATATTGATTTTAATAAATTACAAGTTCCATACTTCATATTCTTCAAATTCATAATCCTCTATCTTAACGGTAGTGACCCTAGCACTGAGTGGTGGACGGAGCATATCTTGTTTGTCTTCCCATGAAAGTTTCAACTCAAATGCATCTTGTCTATCAATAAGCAACCTTTTACTTTTTGAGCCTAAATTTCGACTTCTTTTGCGGTCTGGAGTCATAAGTGATAGCGAATGTGGACCTTCCCCGTTCTTGTTTCCAATATTCGAGGGCAAGTACCAATTCACATCCACACTACTTTTAGAAGATGTAACAAGCTCTTTGCTCCCACTGAAAGATTGAAGCATGCCAGAATAACCACTCATTAAGGGCACATTCTTTGCGAGAGCTGAGAAGAAAGTTTCACTTGATGTTTTTCTGAACCCCAGCAAAATCTTTCTTTCCGGGTCCATACGACTGAAAATTACTGAAATGAAAACATTTTGACAAGATGAGAAAAAAGAAACAAACACCATAAAAGTTAAGCTTTTCTTTTGGTTGCTAGGGATATATAGAGTGATGTTTGACATGCATGGTTCAATTTGCATCATGAAGAAGTTTCGAGCTCTGTAAATCAGAACACTTTAGATACCAGTATCACCAGCTTGCAATTGCATGGATTGAATACAGGGGGTCACACCCTCCAAAACATACATCCTGCTATTATTGTTTGGCCAAAACCTGAACTGGAACACCCACTCCTTCCCCTTTGTATCCTGAATCCTTATAGGGAGGCCTTCAGGTTGTGAAACCGGCGGAAAATATGCCTAAACCATGATACACATTCATCCACAGGTAAGAATTCACATTTGGGAGGAAAGATTAGAAAAAAAAAAGGAAACAGAAGGCACAATATCCTTTTGAGGGTAAGCACAACGATGAACCTTACTTCAGCACATGCTTTGGGAAGTACCAAACGCCCGATTCGACCTGCATCGCTAGCACTCAAGACCTTTTCAAACAATGGTACAATGGAGGAATTTGTGCTTCAGTAGCATATGGTAAAGGAAATCATTTCCAACATTTATAAATTTTGAGTAAATTTGATGAAATCAAATCAGAAAAGTGAGAAGTCATTATGGATACTTTCCCGATATTTGCTGCAATTCCTGATCAGTTATCCTGGGCCAGTAACGTGGAAGCAACTGGCTGTTCATTCTTCCTTCAGCCGGTGGCCTAGCGAAGGTATACTTTGGTGGTTTGGGTACAAAGGAAGTAATCATCTTTCCCATTTGCCCTTCATCAATTGATGTCCCACCACTGACATTTTTGTTGCCTAAAGGGGCAGTGAGTGATATACATAAGTTTGTTTGAACTGGTGATCCAGGCAGTACTCCCCTTGTCTTAATATGTGAATCAATTAGTTCTCGTCTAACGTTTGTGGGAGGCATGCTTCTAGATTCTTCCATTTTTTTGTTGGCAAAGTGGCTTGCTTCGAATATCATTTTGGGGTGGGAGAGAATGTTTAAGAGCAATACTTTCAAAGCCTTCATCTAACACCATATTTATTATTGTTCTCTCCATGTTACTTCCATTAATTCGGCTTTGGTCAGACGTTGACTGTTCATCTACGTTACTTGGAGTACCACTTCCTTTATCTTCTTCTATACTTGGCATCTGATCACAAAGAAAAAAAGCATGCTACCTGTTGGAATAAAAGGCCTGACTAGTCAAATGCTTGGTTTTGCAATGACAAATTGTTAACATAATCCTTGAGAGTCCCATTTTAAAATCATTAATGGAACAATAGAAGTACATTGTTTATGGTATATATAGTACAACATCCTTCACCTAATGAGAGACAGAGAGAGACTTTGCAATGTACCCAAGTTTTGAATATAAAAAAACTAGTCAAAGAGACTCTCTCTCCCTCGCACAAAACATGAAAGAGAATGGGATATATATGACTAAAAAATGTCCTAAATAACACGTGCATATAATAGGATAGGAGTGATTTTGGTTTTGTCAAGGAACCAACTCAACCAAAAGCTTAAGCTTGTGGTTGTGGCCCAGGAACAGTTATTTATATTCTAACACGCCCCCTCACGTGCAGGCGTAATCTTTTTTCGAGCCTTGCACGCGAAATCTTAATTTTTTTAAACTGGGTGGCGCTGAGTTTCGAACTCGTGACCTCTTAGTCAACGAGGCTCCGATACCATGTCAAGGAACCTACTCAACCAAAAGCTCAAGCTTGTGGTTGTAGCTCAGGAACAATTATTTATATTCTAACAGGTTTTAAGGTATATATATCCGTTTAGTAAAAGTAGTTTGTTTCAAACAGAAGTCAACTAATAAGTTTGAACGGCCATAGTTAGATATTATGGTTGTACTAGTATTGATTACTTACCATAGTAGTGATTTATTGTTTAGTTTAAAGGTAAAACCAAACAAAATTTCCTTTGGTTAAAATCCTCTTAACATTAAAATAATTAACCAACACCTTTTTAGCCTAATTAAAAGTCCATTTAGCCTAAATGTCTGTTTCAGAAAAACCAATTTTCCAGGTGAAAGTCAAACTCGCTCTAAGCGTATCTTACATTTTGAAGCTGTGAACTTTTCACACAGTTGATGCAACATATACTCTCTAGCAGTACGTGGGCAATTTAAAGTATGATCGAAGTATGACAAAACCAGCAGGCTTACCTTCAAAAATCAAATCATCACAATTTACGTGTGTTTTCTGGCCGGTTCCTCAAGCTAGAATCATAAGGATTCTTAAGACATCGTCCATAGATTTGGCATGCAGCTCGTATGTAGGAAGAGAAACCGAAGGGCTGGGGAGAATTTGATCGAGTGCGGGTGCGGGAGTGTGTGTGCATGTTATGTGTGTGTCTATATATATATATATATATATATATATATATATATATATAGGGATTGACTCCAGTGAGATGACACCTTATGGTAAGATGACATGCTTCAATGACACAACACACAACACTGCCAATGGAAAGCTCACCAACTGCCAATGTAAAACTCACCAACTGCCAATGCAAAGCTCACCAACTGTCAATGCAAAGCTCATTACTTTTTTAAATAAAAAAAGTTAAAAAAATAGTACCACCACTCAACCACCGGTCCACGACAACAGTAAGGGTTATCGGTGGTGGCCATTGGTCATGGGTGGTCAAAGTGTAAAGCTTACCAACTATCAATGCAAAGCTCACCAACTGTCAATAGAAAGCTCACCCAGGAATAATGCAAAGCTCACCACTTTTTTTATAAAAAAAAAGCTAATAAAATTGCACCACCAGTCAACCACCGGTCCACAACGGTAGTCTAAAGCGGTTGGAAGTCAGCACCACCGTCCTTTGTTTTTTTTTTGAAATTATTTCAAATTTTAAAGTGTGGTGAGCTTTGTGCACATATTCGGTGAGCTTTGCAATGATAATCAGTGAGCTTTGTTGTTGGGCTTTGTAAGCATTTAACCATCAAATTTTTTAAAAAAAGTAAAGTGTTGGAAAATCATGGTGAGCTTTGCAGTGGACAGTAGTGAGCTTTGCAGTGATCAATGGTGAGCTTTGCAGTGATTAGTGGTGAGTTCCAGCGTCATCTGACTGAAACATGTCATCTTACCATAAGGTGTCATCTCACTGGAGTCAATCCCATATATATATATATATATATATATATATATATATGTATGTATATATATATATATATATATATATATATGTATGTATGTATATATATATATATATATATATATATATATATATACTCCCTCCGTCTCTCATAGATCTTCTCAATAGCCCTTTTTCTTTGTCCACAATAGATCTTCTCATTTCATTTTTTAACAATTAAAATACCATAACTGCCCCCACTTACTTTATTTATTATACCTCACCCACCTCATTTAATACACTCCACCATATTTCATTAAGGGTATTATGGTAAACTTTCACCTTTTTTCAATTCTCCTTAAAAACCACCAAAAGTCAAAATGAGAACATCTTAGGAGGACGGAGGGAGTATAAACTGTCAAAAAGGGATGCAAAAGTGGCCTGGCATGCACTAGTGTAGTGTAGTAACGCGTGCAGGGGGGAGAAGACAGAAAGGAATGATCACTCCATCTACCCACCACACCACACCACGGTCGCCAGGCTTTCCAGTTTGGGTTTCCAGTGCGCTGACGTCCATCTTACTCATTCTTTTCCTTTCTCTTTCTTTCTTTCTTTCTTTTTATGCGGAATAGTTTACAGGGTACGTACATGTTTGGGAATACCGACTGCCAATAGAATGTTTATACTCCATCCACAGTACAAAATTTCATACGAGCATCTTACATTTATCCAAAAATTTGTACCTCATTTGTACATCAAAGATATGCACCAACATTTAGATGGTTCACACTAATATAAAGTGTTGATGCGTTAACAAAAATGTACACTGACACAAAGTATTGGTGCATTAACAAAAATTAATATTACACCAACACAAAATGTTGGTGCATTCCTGCGGTGTACAAAATGGAGTATAAATAACACTTTCCAATTTCATATGTGTATTTTTTAGGATGATTTCCCGATCAGCTTTGGGTTTGAAAAACCACCTCCAATTTCTATAAAGGTCTGTTTGGTTTACGAAATTAATATAATTGGAATTGATTTGAATGAAATTGAATTTTCCAATTCCAATTAATTTTTGACACTATCAGTTCAGAATTAACATATTTTTGTGCTATTAAACAACAGATTGAAGACATAGGCTAGAGCTGAATAGTAAACATTCTATGGTTAACTATTTTTTGTATTGACGCTCCACTGTTAGTCTATCTGTAGCTAGGGGTGGACACGGTATGGTTCCGGTCCGATTCCGGTACCGCCACCCCGTGGAACCGTTACCGGTACCGTCCCAACCGATAGCGGCGGTTCCGGTACAGTACCGGCCAGTTTCCACCACCTTCTATTTTTTTAATTTATAAAAGTGTAAGTATTAAAAAAATAATTAAATAAAATATCTAAAAATATACTTGTTATTTAAATATTGAAAAAGGAGTAATACACGAATAACCACTAGTACATATCAAGGTAAAGGCATCCGTTATTTTGTACCTTTAGCATCTGTTTTGTACCGATGCAAATGCAAGCGATGCAATTGGTCCAAATCAGTTGCACTGCTTTTGGTAACACTCGATGCCTTTGCTATTTTGTTAATTAAAAAAAGAGAGAGTATTAGCATCGGTTGGTTCTAAATACCCTATGTCTTTGCTATTTTATTAATTTTTAAAAAAATATTAACATCGGTTGTTTGGCTACAATCGATGCCTTTGGGGTCTTATTATTTTCAAATTTTTTTAAAGAGTATTAGCATCGCTTTTTTCTACAATCGATGCCTTTGGCCTTTTTATTTTCTAATTTTTTTTAAAAAGAGTATTTACATTGGTTGTTTAGCTACAACCGATGCCATTGGTCTTTTAATTTTCTAATTTTTTTTAAAAAATCGGTAATTGCATCAGTATGTCAGGAAAAACCAATGCCTTTGCTACATTCATTTTTCAGAAAACGGTATTCGCATCGCATCCGTAGAAACAATTGATGCCTTTGGTATATAAATTTTTAAAAAAGATTTTTAAAATGTATATCTGCATCGGTTCGACCGAAACAACCGATGCCTTTGATATATTAATTTTTAAAAAAATATTCAAAAAATATATTAGCATCACTTGTTAGTAAACAACCAGTGCCTTTGTGGTACGAGTTTTTTTTTTTAAATATTTTGCCAAAAAAGTGCAATATTTCTACACAATCTAGTAACCGTCTAGAAATTCAATATGACTACACATTTTATGTAGCACACAACAGTACATATAAAAGATACAGGTCTCCAACATTGAAGACACTTTAAATTTGATTGTATACATGTAAAGACTTAACATACTACACAGCTTACACATAAAGTTGTGAACAAGTAACAAAACGAGTTAAGAAGTACACCAAATTAAACTCAATCTGTTTGTCACTAGGGATATAAGTACACCAAATTAAATTACACTTAATATCCAGACAGTTCAAAAAAAAATGACAAGGTAAAGAACCATCCTCGAAGGATCTTATATATTGCTCTAAAAAACTATTTACATTAATGTAAAAAAGAGTTTATAACTTATTCCTCGGAACTAGGACTTCCTTTTGTGGTTGCATTCATGTAATGTTCGGCATTAATGTCGTACCCTGACTCTTGAGCTCGACATCTTGCCAAGAGCCAATCTCTGTTAGAATTAAGTTTTTCAAGCGATTCAGCACTAAGACAACTTCAGTAGTCGGTTAGAATGTTGCCGCTAGATATGAATTCTTATTCCAAAGGTACGTTTGAATCCGTGACGGATAAAACTTGTCTGGCTAGCATTCTGAAAGATGGGAACATGTGTTCGTTCCGCTTCCACCATTTGAGAACATCAAAGTCCGTGTCGTCTTCGTAATCGCATGACACTCCTTGGTACATAGCAAGTTCGTTGTGCGACCTTATAATTGTACCACCTGAACTCGTCGAAGCGCGACCACGCTTACAAAACTTGTACATCCAAAGATCTTTAGTGGGACTGGAAAACAGAGGTTTATAAGGGAAGAGACTATGAAATGGTGGCTGGCCACCAAGGACACTCGATAGAAGGCGATTAATCAAGAAACATGCAGGGGCAACAACATTAGCCCAAAACATCTTGGACACTTTTGATTGAAACAAGAGTGCCTGTGCAGTTTCAAACAGATTTCGATTTTTGCATTCAAATACTCCATTTTGGGCCGGGGTATCCACACACGCCATGGTCACGCATGTAGCCTGGAAGGGGCTGGAAAGATATTCTTTAACATTATCACCATGCATAATTTTAACAGGCATATTAAATTGGGTTTGAATTTCAGCACAAAATGAATGAATGTGAGAAAATAACTTAGAACATGATTTCATTAAATAGAGCCAACTCATACGTGAATAGTCATCAACAAAAGTAACAAAGTACCGGAATCCGGGTTTTGACACAACCGAGCAAGGACCCCAAACATCATAATGAACAAACTCAAAAAGAGCACTTGCGCGTAGATTTATTCTAGGACCCCAAACTAACACGATGGTGTTTAGCAAAACTACATAATTCACACTCTAAAACAAAGAGATATTGGAAGTGAGGATAAATTTTCTTTAACAGGGACAAGGATGGATGACCAAGACAATAATGAATCTCAAAAGGTGGCTCAATCCCAACACAAGCAGCTGCTTTAGGAACAGAAGTGTTGAGAAGATACAGGCCATTAATCTCACGTCCTTCACCAATAATCTTCTTCGTCGTAAGATCCTGAAACACACAATGGTCAGAAAAGAATGTGACAAAGCAATTAAGATCACGAGTAAGTCTAATAAGAGACAACATATTAATGAGAAATGGGGTAAACTCAAAACAGAAGATAGATGCATATTTGGAGTTAGGATAACCAAACCTGACCCAAGGACCTTAGATGTGGAACCATCAGCAAGGGTAACAGGGGAATGAGATGAGTAGGTCTGAAAAGTTGAGAAGACGCTAGGATTATCTGACATATGATATTTAGCTGCGGAATCAATAACCCACGTGGAGGAAAACGAGACAAGAAAAGCACTATCGTTACCTGATTTCGTAATTATCATCATAGGAGGAGATGATTGCAGCAAGAGCTCCTTGAATTGAATGGATTGGGCATAATCATTTGTTGAAGTAGGGGGTTTAGGTTTTTCACCACAGGAAAAGTGTGCAGCTCGTCCCCTTTGATTAACACGTTGGAGTTTCCTACCATCACACTTATAATATCCCTCTT